CTCTCTCTCTCTCTTCTCTCTCTTCTCTTTTTCCCCTCCCTCTCTCTCTCTCTCTTCACCCCAATTCAATAGACTTTATTGACATGGCAAGTAAATGACTTACATTGTCAAAAGTATTAGATTATAACAAAATAATGGATTTTCTCTCTTTTAGTTAAATTCTTTGTATGATGATAATTTGGGAAAGAAAGATTTTTAGTTCCTGAGTATTTGTAAAAATGTATAGGAATGCAGCTTGTCCTCATTCCCGGGGGCAGATTGGCACAGTGTCTTCTGGGGCAGCCGTTCCGGGCGACGTACTATAGCCAGCTGTGCCACTGAGTCTGTACCTAGTCATTGTTTCATTGCTTTGTGATGATTGTGGGCCAGTTTTGAGTGTGTCTGAGGCTCTATGAGGTTGGTTTGGTAGTGAACTGAGCTAGAACAGGTGAGGGGGACTCTGTCTTGTTGATCTCGGAAAGGAGCTGAGGGGAATGTTTGTGGCTGACGTGGTTGGATGATGTTGGGGTAAATGTGTTGGGTGTATTGATGGGTTAGTAGAAGAAACTCGATGAGCAGATAGGTGGGTAAAACCCAAAGTAGAATTGGGCATTCCCCGAAGCAAGGAAGGAGGATGGTAAGGGGAGAGAGAAAGAAAAGGGGAAAATAGCATAGCAGAACTAGCATCAAAAACAAACTCTAGAAAACAAGGTACTATCATTATGATATCATTCTTCTAGCTAGATCACTCTCTCGCTCCTCTACTTCTCTCTCTCTCTCTCTATCTCATCTCTCTCTCTCTCTCTCTCTCTCTCTCTCTCTCTCTCTATCTCTCTACTCTCTCTCTCTCTCTATCGTCATCATTCTCTTTTGCACAGATGCATACATACATGCACGACCCCTCATATTTAAACTGTTTACACTGTGTTACGGTGTCTGCCTTATTTGCATGAACCGTAAGAATAGGACACACAATCAATCTCTTTCTGTAGCTACTTTAAATGCTTGTTACTGTTCAGTAGTTGTGTTGCTATTTCATGCAAACAATGATGGAATGACTGAGTTGACCACAACGACCACCAACACTACCCCCACTTCCTTTCTTATAAGCCCCTGTCTTATCTTCACCTCTCTCTTTCTCTTCCTGTCCCCTCCCTCAGCCCCATCACCGTTCTGTTCTTACCCTGTCACACCTAGGCCCTGGGTAAAGAACATTTCATAACACATCATAAACCAGTGGAAAGTGCATGCGTGTGTTTTTGTGTAAGTGGATCAGAGAGGTCTAAATAATCTGTGGTTGGAGAGATGAGTAGCTCCACCTGATGGTTGCAAAGAAACGTTCTACTAACAAACAAACAAACATTTTACCCAGGGCACGCGCACCCTAGTTTCATTACACATCACCCCTTTTTACTCTTGCCATGCCCATTAAGGTCCTGATTGGTGAACCACTGATGAATGTGTAGGGGACTTCTGAAATTTGACAGACATTGTGGCACAGCAGAAAGATCAGCACACACTAAAATCCAGAGGTTGTGAGTTGAAATCCAATGTGGGGTCATATTGAAAAGTCAGTGCAAAGTGATCATGTCAAATGTAATCATATTGTCATTGATTGAAGATTTTACACTATTTTAGCTGAACAGTGTACCAGTTACCTTAAAACCCCCATACCATTTCATTACTTTACTTATAATGGTTTGGGACTCCTGGGACCATCACGTGACAAAAACCTCCAGGGGACCATGACACAATGTCCCAAGAACGTTAAGGGGACCTTCAGGGGGCTAAAGAACACTTGACCACAGACACATCATAACCAGTGGAACAGGGTGTGTTTTTGTGTAAGTGGAACAGAGAGGTCTAAATAATCTGTGGTTGGAGAGATGAGTAGCTCCCCTCTTCAGGAAAGACTCTACCTCAGAACCTACAGCAACAGAAAACACATATCTAATAATAACCAATTATTCATCTGGTCAGTGATAACCTTTACTTTCAGATAATATGACTAGGGGTTTTCGCTGTCAGTTTACCTTCCAAGTGATGGTCACCATGGTGCATAACAACATAATAGGAGTTGGACTATCATCGTAGTATTTGTATGGCCAAGCAGAATATTTGGAGGAAATATCATTACCATACTACAGATTAGTCTTGACATTTTCAAACTGGACACAAACAGTATTTACATGACAAACACTAACATGCTTATTTACTCATAATAAACTATTATTAGATTTGTTATTTGTTATTAATGTATTTATTACCTAGTAAACTGTTTCTAAATCAGTTAAGATAAATACATTGTAACAGTAATGTGCTTGGTTTGATATTAGTTGACTCTACAGGTATTTTTTACTGCTGCAAACCTTTGATATAAAGAGAAAAGTTAATTGACAACTTCTAATTTGACCCTTGTGGTAACTGACTCACTCTCACACAGTGACAGGTTGAAGTTTCCGTTTTAATAGTATCTTCCACAGTACTGCCACTACTGGGTGTGCAGTACATTATTCACAGTTAGTCCGGGTTAGTTAATGGATTGTTTTACATCCCACTTAAGACACATTTTCCATTTGGATGTGACGCCTCTGAAAATGTCCTCCCTTGCATTCTCACCCTATCTTGTGCTTAGCCTCAAATGCTACATGGGCCTTTCATTAAACAGTCTCACTAACACTAATACTGAGACACAGTCATGCATGTTATCATGACATTTCTTACCAAAACACAGCACTTCTCTCTATGTGTCCACATACACATGCATGCAGTGCCACAGTCATAGAACTATGGCTACAGTAGTGTCACTCACCACCACTATGGAAACCTGACCTGTCACCAGTGATGAGAAAGTGAGAGTGGGGGAGACAGGCCTCATGGTTAGGGGTCTGTGGGAGGAAACCAGTCTGTGATGCTCTCTGAGTGTAGGAAAAGTATTTGCATATGGGTATGTTGTGTCTCTCCATATGAGGTTGGTGGGCTTAAAAAGAGCTGCAGTTCTGGTGAGTCACACATCTGACTGCAGACTCAGAGCCAGTGCTATAGACAGAATGAAGGCCCTCCTCTCTCTCCTGCTTCTCTTCACCACCACTCTACTGATGTCCACTACTTCTGCTCAAGGTGTGTGTGTGTTCTCTTATCATGTATTTGATTAGATAGTGTTAGATTTCACTTAAGATGTTTGTTTTAGCATTGGAAGCAAATTGATGATATTGGAAATCCATGGTGATGGTGAGAAAATAATATGATGCTTTATAAGTACAGTGTAAATGAATGATGGTGATGATGAACATGATAATGCAACTCTTCTCTCTCTCTTGTAGCCGGTGGACCAGTAATCCCCTGCTGTATGGAGATTAAAGGCACTACGGTGCACCGCGACAAGATCAAGTTCTACTACCTACAGGACACAGCCATGTGTAACATCAAGGCAGTAACGTAAGTGCTTATAACCGTACATAGGTGTTTATACCATGGCATTGTTGAATATTCGTTTCTGATTGACTTGAAGGGCATTCTAGAGCATGCATGATTTCCTTATAATGCACGGTATATCAGCACGATAGAATTCAATGGCTAGTTCATTCTTGCACATTCTACTACTTTTGAAAGCAAACGTCGAATTGAAAATATTAACGTCATTGGCATTGTTGAATTAGATTTTCAGAATAGCAAGCAAGGACTGATGATTTGGTCAGCTAAACTAGCAAGTCTGTTTGTTTGGTTACCAAGGCAACTACAGTCACTATTTAGTGAGCTTTCTAGCTACTTCAGTGGATGTTGAACACATTTCTACCTGCAAATGAACACATTTCTAGCGACAAATGTGTTAAATTATAGCAATGGTATAAAAGGGAAAATCAACTCGGGGCTCTATGCCTCCACTAGCGCGTTGTTGAACACCCCTCCACGTTGTTCATTTTCTGTTGATTATCCCTTACTTATTTCAGCTGTTATGAATGCAGTATATATACGCACTATGAATGCATTCATAATGCATTATACCCAGATGGACAATTGGTTCATAGAAAGCATGACGTTTTTGAGTGTGTATCTGTTGTGACCGGTCTAATTGTTTTTTAAACCTGTTCTTTCCCCAGGTTTGTCACAGTGAAAGGCATACGAATCTGCTCTGACCCTTCCAACCCCTGGGCAAAGAAAACCATGCAGTACCTGAACAAGAAGAACAAGCCTCACACACCTCAAAAACATCACATCACCTCAACTACTACTACTACTACAACCACCACTATCCCACAACTTGCGAAAAACAACCCTCACAAAACAACATTTTCAGCTCACAACCCCAAAATTGCTTCTCAATGGTCAACAACTCACCACAAGACATAGAAGAACATTGAATTTTCCAGTTCATAGTACATCAGACTATTGACTTTGAATGTTTGAATATTTTCAATATGCAGCTATTATAACAATTATGTCACTTTAATGAATATCTTTATATATTTATAAATTATTAAATCGAATTTACTTCCACAGTGAATTTGATGACTGCTGGCTATTTGCCAGTATGCCTAAACAATGTATAATGTTTCTTATTAAAATAATGGTTTTAAATTGCCGATTTGTTGTCCTCTGTCATCCAATGGGATATCCAGCATGCGGTGAGGGTTCTGGTGCAAAATGGCTGCCATTCATCACCCAGGTGTGTGCTAGACATTAGTAATGGATGAGCAGCACTTTACAATACTATAAGTGAAAAAAGTGATATAAAAGCAACCCATTCCAATAATTAAGAGGAGTAAGTTAAGAAAAGCAGATACTGATGTTAAAGGTGACATTTTCTGCTGATTACTGTAGCTGTGGATATTAGTCACTTTGTTTCACAACTGATGACCTACCCATAAGTTCCATGATCGTCACATCTGGCCATGCTAGAAAGGACAGATGGATAGACACAAATGTTACACAAATGCTATTAACCCCAAACCTGAACTATAACCTTACCCTGAATTTGACCTCTTACCCTAATTGATAAAGAACAAGCTCTACCTAGTACCTAGTAAATCTGACCATATTAACACTATTGCCCAGTCTAGCATGGTCATCTAGTGACCTCTGTGTTTCAACCATAGAGTTAGAACCAGACTGTGCATTCTAGAATTAGACTAAGAATTATATTTCAATGGCTCCAAGAGAGAGGGAAAGCTGTGGAGTGGGTCTCAAGATGGGGGCCATCTTGTTTCAACTGTATCAGTGTACACTGTAAAACATGGCTGGAGCTCCAGTGGAGCAATCGGTTAGTGTCTACACTAACAGTGGCGGTGGATGTTAAATAGGTTACTACATGTGGGAAGAGAGAAAGTTAACACTGTATCTCTGTTAACCGTAGGGTTTTTGGGGGCTTGGCTGCTGTGGAGTAGGTATGAGTGTTTGAGGTGTAGTGGATGCTCTAGTATACCACAGCGGATTTTCCCCTCCCCTCTGTACAGCCACTTACTAACACCTCCATTTCTGTTTCCACCTCTGTAAAGTCACATCATTCTGTGCACTATGAATACTATTACATGTATGGTTGTGTGTAAGTCACACAATATACAGTATGTGCCAGCTATGAGTTTCTTTGGATAAAAGCATCTGTTAATATTACCATTATTATTGTATTGTATAATTCCTCTTGTATGTACAGTACCCTCGTTGGGTGTCTTGAAAGGCACTTAAAGCAAACTGTACATTCATTATGACTCCGACTATTAATGAAAATAATTTACATAAAAGCACTTTCTTCTTGAGGGAGATTAGAAAACAATCATTTGTTGCTACTACATTGCTGGTAGCGATGATTAGGACTGCGTTTTCTAAGTGATTTATTTTACAATTAGCCCATAAGTGTTTGTTTGAGACAGGGAATGTTGTGTTCTCCAAAGAAATGAGAGTCAGTCTGATTCAGAGTCTGTCTGAGTCATTGGTGTTTACTGTACCTGTATCTGTAGTTTTGCTTTGTTTTCATCATTAGTAACATCACTATCCTGTCTCGTCACCAGTACAGTGAAAACGTGCCAGATAGAATAAACTCAGATTCCATCTCTGTGAACAGTGTGAAACGTGTGGGTTGGGAATGCATCTCGCACGTACAGTATTCTGTGTTTTTGTGTGTGTGTATGTATGTGTGTAGTCGCTTTGGTTCAGTAAGAAGCGATGGAGAGGTTCTCTGTAGTCTGTCAGTCAGAAGGGGAAAGATCAGGACTCCTTCTGTTGTTCCTTTCTTCACCAGTGTCAGAAGTAGAGGTTCCCACTAGATGTGATTAACACATGTTAGCTACCATGTGTATACATATTATCCACCATTAGGTAGGCTACATGTGTTAACCTGACAAAAACCACAGTGGTGGAAACACTGCTGCATTAAAACTATTTTCCTATCTTTTCTATAGAGACCAAAGAAAGGTTATAATGGAGGGATCATCAGCAGAGATGGAGGCAGAAAAATAAAAAAAATTAACTTAAGCAACTCAGTGGTTAAAGAAGAAGACAGTGTTAGAACAGGAGCAAACCTTTTCTGTGTGGGACTTTATTATCAGTTAGGCTCTATCTCTATCTAAGATCTGTGACTAAAAAAACAGCAATACACATTCTCTCGCGGGCCCTGTCATCGATTACTGTATTTGCTTTGACCAGTTAGGCCTAGGTAATCTTTCATGAAAAATGCTTCTGAAAGAATAGGTTTTAATGTGTCAGTCTGTCTTCATCTTGCATATACTGTTTGTCACAATAATTATGTATTTCTTTGTATTTGTTTTGTTTTTCTGAGAACAAACTATTAGATATGTAACCTGTGGTTGAAACCAGGCCTGTATAGAGACATGCATGAATGCACTGTACACACACTATGCTACACACTCGATTCTAGAGAGTACAGGAAGTGGTGTTTGTATTGGTGGTTATATGACGCTACGCTTCAGTTCCAGTGAACAGGTAGACACACCACAATTATTTAGAAGATCATGGCCTCAGACTCCGTTTAACACACTATTACTTTATTAATTTACCTTTAGCTACCCAGTGGTGTAAAGTACATAAGTAAAATACTTTAAAGTACTACTTAAGTAGTTTTCTGGGTTATCTGTACTTTACTTTACTATTTATATTTTTGACAACTTTTACTACACTACATTCCTAAAGACAATATTGTACGTTTTACTCCATACATTTTCCCTGACAACCAAAAGTACTCGTTACATTTTGAATGCTTAGCAGGACAGGAAAATTGTCAAATTCACGCACTTATCAAGAGAACACTTGGTCATCCCTACTGCCTCTGGCCTGGCGGACTCACTAAACACAAAGGCATCTTTTGTAAGTAATATCTGAGTGTTGGAGTGTGCCCCTGACTATCCATAAAAATGTTAAACAAGAAAATGGTGCTGTCTGCTTTGCTTAATATAAGGCATTTAAAATTATTTATACTTATTTTAGCAATTACATTTACTTTTGATACTTAAGTATATTTAAAACCAAATACTTTTAGTTCAAGTAGTTTTTTACTGGCTGACTTTCACTTTTACTTGAGTAACTTTCTATTAAGGGATCAAATAAAATAAAAATGTATTGGTCACATACACATTTCTTAGCAGATGTTATTGTGGGTGTAGCGAAATGCTTGTGTACCTAGTTCCAACAGTACAGTAGTATCTAACAATTCACAACAAAACACACAAATCTAAAAGTAAAAGAATGGAATTAAAAAATATATTAATATTAGGACGAGCAAAGTTGAGTAACCGAGTGGTAGCCGGTTAGTGCAGTCTGACGGCCTTGAGATAGAAGCTGTTTTTCAGTCTCTCGGTCCCAGCTTTGATGCACCTGTACTGACATCGCCTTCTGGATGATAGCGGGGTGAACAGGCCGTGGCTCGGGTGGTTGATGTCCTTGATTTTCTGTGACATCGGGTGCTGTAGGTGTCCTGGAGGGCAGGCAGTGTGCCCCCGGTGATGCGTTGGGCAGACCGCACCACCCTCTGGAGAGCCCTGCGGTTGCGGGCGGTGCAGTTGCCTTACCAGGTGGTGATACAGCCCGACAGGATGCTCTCAATTGTGCATCTGTAAAAGTTTATGAGGGTCTTAGGGGCCAAACCAAATTTCTTCAGCCTCCTGAGATTGAAGAGGCTCTGTTGCGCCTTCTTCACCACACTGTCTGTGTGGGTGGACCATTTCAGATTGTCAGTGATGTGTACGCCGAGGAACTTGAAGCTTTCCACCTTCTCCGCTGCGGTCCTGTCGATGTGGATAGGGTCGTGCTCCCTCTGCTGTTTCCTGAAGTCCACGATCAGCTCCTTCGTTTTGTTGATGTTGAGGGAGAGGTTATTTTACTGGAACCACTCTGCCAGGGCCCTCACCTCCTCCCTGTAGGCTGTCTCGTCATTGTTGGTAATCAGGCCTACTACTGTTGTGTCGTCTGCAAACTTGATGATTGAGTTGGAGGCGTGCGTGGCCACGCAGTCATGGTCACCGCTAACATCAAAGCGGTGACCCGATCCTGCAGGTTCATGCTCTACAACATTCGCAGAGTACGACCCTACCTTACACAGAAAGCGGCACAGGTCCTAATCCAGGCACTTGTCATCTCCCGTCTGGATTACTGCAACTCGCTGTTGGCTGGGCTCCCTGCCTGTGCCATTAAACCCCTACAACTTATCCAGAACGCCACAGCCCGTCTGGTGTTCGACCTTCCCAAGTTCTCTCATGTCACCCCACTCCTCCGCACACTCCACTGGCTTCCAGTTGAGGCTCGCATCTACTACAAGACCATGGTGCTTGCCTACGGAGCTGTGAGGGAAACGGCACCTCCTTACCTTCAGGCTCTGATCAGACCCTACACCCAAACGAGGGCACTACGTTCATCCACCTCTGGCCTGCTAGCTCCCCTACCTCTACGGAAGCACAGTTCCCGCTCAGCCCAGTCAAAGCTATTTGCTGCTCTGGCACCCCAATGGTGGGGCCCCTGTGTTGAGGATGAGTGAAGTGGACGTGTTGTTTCCTACCTTCACCACCTGGAGGCGGCTCGTCAGGAAGTGCAGGACCCAGTTGCACAGGGCGTGGTTCAGACCCAGGGCCCGAGCTTAATGATGAGCTTGGAGGGGTACTATGGTGTTGAAGGCTGAGCTATAGTCAATGAACAGCATTCTTACGTAGATATTCCTCTTGTCCAGATAGGATAAGGCAGTGTGCAGTGCGATGGCGATTGTATCGTCTGTGGATCTATTGGGGCGGTAAGAAAATTGAAGTGGGTCTAGGGTGTCAGGTAAGGTAGAGGTGATATGATCCTTAACTAGCCTCTCAAAGCACTTCATGATGACAGAAGGGAGTGCTACGGGACGATAGTCATTTAGTTCAGTTACCTTTGCTTTATTGGGTACAGGAACAATGGTGGACATCTTCAAGCAAGTGGGGACAGCAAACTGGGATAGGGAGAGATCAAATATGTCCGTAAACACTCCAGCCAGCTGGTCTGCACATGCTCTGAGGCCGAGTGGCTAGGGATGCCATCTGGGCCGGCAGCCTTGTGAGGGTTAACATGCTTAAATGTCTTACTCACGTCGGCCACGGAGAACGAGAGCCCACAGTCCTTGGGAGCGGGCTGCGTCGGTGGCACTGTGTTATCCTCAAAGCGGGCGAAGAAGGTGTTTAGCTTGTCCGGGAGCAAGACGTCGGTGTCCGCGATACGGCTGGTTTTCCCTTTGTAATCCGTGATTGTCTGTAGACTCTGCCACATTCGTCTCATGTCTGAGCCATTGAATTGCAACTCCACTTTGTCTCTGTACTGACATTTTGCCTGTTTGATTGCCTGATGGAGAGAATAACTACACTGTTTGTATTCGACTATATTCCCAGTCACCTTGCCATGGTTAAACGCGATTGTTCGCGCTTTCAGTTTTACGCGAATGCTGCCATCTATCCACGGTTTCTGGTTTGGGTAGGTTTAATAGTCACAGTGGGAACAACATCCCCTATACACTTCCTGATGAACTCAGTCACCGTGTCCGTGTATACGTCAATGTTATTCTCAGAGGCTACCCGGAACATATCCCAGTCTGCGTGATCAAATCAATCTTGAAGCATGGATTCCGATTGGCCAGAGCAGTGTTGAATAGACCTTAGCACGGATACTTCCTGTTTGAGTTTCTGCCTATAGGAAGGGAGGAGCAAAATTGAGTCGTGATCTGATTTGCCGAAGGAAGTGCGGGGTATCTATACTTTTACTCAAGTATGACAATTGGGTACTTTTTCCACCACTGTAGCTACCTTACCAGGTATGAGGTTTGAGAACACAGTCTTTTACTAAAACATTTGAAGTCAACTCCAAATCTCAAGAGACTGCTTGCTAAAATATAGGCCAGGTTCTATAGAAGCTCTTAAGCACTTACTGCACTGTACAGAAATAAGCACATATCAACATCATAAGAAAACCCTTTTTCAGGAACACATATAACAATTACAGGGCTGTAATGAAAGGAGATTGAGTTTTTGAGAAGTTATTCATATGGGACAACTATCATTGTGGTTTGACCTGATCATGTGACAGTGACTTATTGTGTTGTTAAGACTTAAAATACATCATGACCACCAGAGGACAAAAGTTATCATGATAATATAGTTTTATTGACTTAACATAAACACGTATTACAAATTACAAATATAAAGACAATTTAAGATAGCAGGGTAGGTAATAGATACAAATGTAACTTTAACACAGACAAGCATGTTATTTACACGTACATTCTACTAATTTATCATAGCGCTGTTGAAGTGAGCAGGGACGTGTGGGTTAAATGGTATTCAGATCAACCACTTGACTGTTTCACATGAACTTTCAGTGTATTCCTTCAGAGCCAGCTTAAATACACTTCTACCCATACTTCTCTCCCCGGCACCTGTTGTCAGGGCCGTAACCAGGGTTTGAGTTTTAGTGAGGTCCGGATGCAGTAAAGGAGCTTCAACTTTAGAAATAATTCTATACAACTAAAAAACATTAAAATTGTATTTGGAGAACATTATCACCTTGGCTGCAGTAGGTTCATTCACCTCAGTCGATCTACAAACACAAAGCCTATTAGCTATACAATTTTAATGTTATATCCCTGAAAGGGGGGAAATATGAGAAACGATTCACACTGACACATAGCATCAGCGATGAAACGAAAACTGTATTGTTTGCATTTTGATTGCATTTTATTCTAAGTCTAGGCCTATAGGGAAGATAGGCCATGTGGAGATGTACATTCTAGTCAATTATCAGAAGTATATAAAAACTAGGCTACATTCCACAAAGGTAGGTGAGGCAACATACCACCATCATCCCAAATAGCCTAAACCTTTTTTCAAACATGCGCTAGTGGCAGCCAGTGCAAGAATAAAAGTAAGATAAAAACGTTTACTAAAACAGCATTGGTCCCATGTATCAGTGACACAGGGAGTAAAAAACAACTTTGTGTCAAGTCCTCATGGAAAAAAAAAGAAATGTACTCATGGATAAAATTTGATTTACAACATGTCAACATCGGTAGATGTCCTTGCCACTGTACTACTTTTTAACTTTTTTTTATTTTTATCTTGCTCTCCTCCTACAGGCAGAAGTCCACGATTTAGACCTAACATCAATTGTGCTCAGTTACACAATTGGTTTTGGTACACCAGTTCTCTTGCGCCCTCTTCCCTCTCTCTTTCCTCCCCTCTTCCCTCCTTTCCCCTTTCCTTTTTTGCCTCCCTTCTTTTGTCCCTTTCCCTGTTTACGTGGCACTGCCGGTGCCTTGGTCACTGTCTCGCCCTCCTTTCCTTCCTCCTCCTCTCTCTTGATTGTCTTGATTTCGTCCACCTTTGCCATGGCCTTCCTCACCCAATCACTTCCTGGGTCACCGCAGATCCTCTTCCTTTTTACGGTGTGTAACCTTGAAGTAGATAAATCAAGAGGTCAATTGTCTCCTCTGGTGAGGTCATTTTTTATTCACTTTGTCATTTTCTGATAACGACATTGGTAGTGAAGTAAAACCAGTGGTTCTGTATGACATTGTAGGATACTCTCAATAGGACGCATTCTTATCTTTACGGTGTAGTATGACTGTGTAGGAAATATGAATGTAGGTTACTCACACTATGACTTCGATGGGACACAGTGCTGTAGTCTGTACGGTGTAGTCCACTACCTTTTTAGGGTGGATTCTTTTCTGAGTCAGCTGAAGACAGCAAGTGTTGACTGGTCCAAAGCCTATAGAGGGTTATACATGGTTATACATTACTGGTTTACACAGCTACACGTTACATATATACACCACCGACACACACACTTTCAGTCATAAAATAAGAGGTAAGAACTCACTTGCATCGAGCCCGGTCATCCATGTGGCTACACAGAGCAGAGAAGAGAACACCAGACTCAACCTCATCTTCAGCTGTTGAAGTTTTCAGATTTGAAAGTCTTTAGGTATAGAAGTCTTCATGTGCTGCCCAACCGTTCTGACTGATTGACTATCTCTTAGCCCTGGCCTTATAGGTAGAGAAAGTCCCACCCACACCATTAGGTCTGATAGCCCCCCTCTTTCATCTTCCTCTTCTTCCTCCACAACCCTCTCACCCCCACCCTGTGGCCTATCACTAACAGAGTGACTCTGCTGTGGTGGTAGAGAGGAAAATATGAGAGCTCACTATGAACGGAAGATTATGACTAAAAGACCCCTCACCACAAGCGTATTAACACACACACACACACACACACACACACACACACACACACACACACACACACACACACACACACAAATATGCATTACTCACCACACCTCTTATACTAGGCCACAGGTCTCTATTTAGACAGATAGAAGACAGGATGAGTTAACTGCCATCAATGTATGATATTAAATGCTGGACATTGGGAATGTATGATATGATAGTGTATACCGTGCAGTAATCATTTGTGAATTCTTTCCCCCCTGAAGTGGAGAAATGGAGTGAAGTTTTCAGTGGGTTTGGGTGGGTGACAGTAGCACAGCTTTTTTTACATCGTCTAAATGGGGTCTGTAGAGTTACAATAGCTGCACACTCTGTCTCTCCTTGTCCCATACAGTGAAGTGAATGTCATTATGTCCTTAGCTCTGGCCAGGTCTGAGTTAAACTTCACTGCTCCAATTCAATTTAGTATAGTTGTGTGGCATCGGGTTCCTATGTGACAGACAGTGAATGTGTTTTACTGTGGGCAAGGGGGCATGGCAGCTGTACTTGCTGAGATTGGACTTTTAAATGGAGGCCACATATCCACTTTAACACAGCGCTAGATAGACACGGCTAGGGAAGGAAGGATGGAGAGAGAGGGCAGAGCCCCAAATATTCACACTTTTGCACAGCAGTAAAACCACTCCGGAGAGAAGTACTTAATGCCAGGCTGAGTGGCAGTATAATAGACCTGCTTTCCGTCTGCTTTTACCACATCTAACTGAACAGAGCAGGACAGACTGCACAGAGAGAGAGGAGGATGAATGACAGGATAAAGAGAGGGAGAACGGAAGAGAAAGAAAGATAGATAGGGAGAGGATGGCGATGAAATGAAGAGATGTAGAGAGGTATATAATGAGAGGGGTAGAAGGAGAGAGATAAAGAAGGGTAGAGAGGAGAGGTATAGTAAGAGGGAGGGAGAAAATAACTAGGCCCCAGTTGGAGAAAAGAGATGATCATCACATTTGTATTCTCAACCATAACTCTAATGCTTGCTCTGATATGAGGAGTAAACACTTGAATCCTGTCCCACGTGGGATACAACTGAAAGCATCCCAAATATTAGTTTCCTTTCTCGTCCTTCAGTAAACAACATCAAATCTCCAGCGACACAAAAGCCTGAATCACAAGCATCCAATCATTAGATTAGGTATGCTTTTCCCTATACACTCATTCAATCTGTGTGGAGATATCTATTCTTGCACGCACACATGCACACAGACACTCTCCATTCAAGCACCCTGTTTATCTATGCAGGAGTGAGAATGCCTGGCTAGAATATTAATTTATTTGTTATTCATTTATTGGTTATTCCCTGGTTCTTTTGGATCGCTGACAGTGCTGCAGATAGAAATTAGATTGGTGATAAGGCGGGCGATTGGAATGAGCGTCGCAGGAAATTACAATCAATACTGACTCTAATATCCTCATCCGATATCGATCTGGGAGCTGAGAGGAGAGACTCATCGAAAACAGCCAGGAAACTAACATGACGGAGAACAATGCATACACACACACACACACACACACACACACACATATAAACGTATGTACGCTAATACTGAGACACATGCACACAAATGAAGGGCTGCATTAAATATGCTTATTGTTTTAAGAGTTAGATAAGCGCATGAGAGCCAGACAAATCTCCACCGTACAACACACACACAAACAGACAGACAGACAGACACACACAGATTTGTTTGAATGTTCTTCTCTTAGTGACTTGATTATGGGTGATCGAAGTTTGGCCTGTCACACAGATGTAATCATATTATATAATAATAATAATACTAATAATGATAATAATATTAATAACACTAATAATTATAATTATAATAATAACAATGATAATAATAATAATAATGATAATAATAATAATAATAATATATGCCATAATTGTTTGTCTATAAAGAACATCAGCTCATAGCGCTGTTGAAGTGAGCAGGGACGTGTGGGTTAAACGGTATTCAGATCATCCACTTGACTGTTTCACATTAACTTTCAGTGTATTCCTTCAGAGCCAGCTTAGATGCACATCTACCCATACTTCTCTCCCCGGCACCTGTTGCCAGGGCCGTAACCAGGGTTTGAGTTTTAGTGAGCTACATTGACCCCAGCCATTATCACCTTGGCTGCAGTAGGTTCATTCACCTCAGTCGATCTACAAACACAAAGCCTATTAGCTATACAATTTTAATGTTATATCCCTGAAAGGGGGGAAATATGAGAAACGATTCACACTGACACATAGCATCAGCGATGAAACGAAAACTGTATTGTTTGCATTTTGATTGCATTTTAATTCTTAATTCTAAGTCTAGGCCTATAGGGAAGATAGGCCATGTGGAGATGTACATTCTAGTCATTTATCAGAAGTATATAAAAACTAGGCTACATTCCACAAAGGTAGGTGAGGCAACATACTGTACCACCATCATCCCAAGTAGCCTAAACCTTTCGAAAGGGGGGGGGAAATATGAGAAACGATTCACATTGACAACTGTACTGCACTTTCTGAGACACGTTGAGCATTGATTGCATGTTTTCATTTGGCCTCTGTGTGAGAGAGGAAAACCTATGGCTCCTGGTTAAGTGGACAGACAGAAAGACAGGCAGGCAGGCAGGCGGGAGGGTAGGCAGTGTGAATGTGTGTAATAAAACAGCTTAATAACACTGCAGAGGTAATTACATTACCTCTGCAGTGGGGGGGGGGGGTTGATATTTCATTAAATAGAGAAAGAGAGAGGGGGAAGTTAGACGGAGAGAAGAAAGGAAAAATAGAGGCATGGGAGGGGGAGTGAGGGAGGGAGAGGTAGATATTCCATTAGCTAGGTAAAGAGAGCTAGACTGTATAGGTAGGTGATATCAGAAAAGGTCAGTCATCTAGAGGGAAAAAAAACTTTTCATTTCTAAAGAACATTTTGAAACTTGCTCTAAGCTTAATTAACAGACAACACATTTTACGTCATTTAGCAGACACTCTTATCCAGAGCAACTTAAAGTTAGTGAGTGCATACATTTTCATACTGGCCCCCCTGGCCCCCTGTGGGAATCGAACCCACAACCCTGGCGTTGCAAGCGCCATGCTCTACCAACTGAGCTACACGGGGCCGATCCAGTACACACTGACGATCCATGTACAGTATCTCATTCACTCTAAATGTTCTCTCTCCCTTTCTCTCTTGCTTTTTCTCTGTCCATCTGCATCGTATCAGTCTGTCTCTTTATCCCTCTCTGAATCCCTTCTTCACTCCCCTGTCTCTGCATGTCTGTCTGTCTGTCTGGCCCTCGTCAGTTACAGAGGGAGGTATGATTAGTGGCTAGGCAGGCAGGGTGAGAGATGCAGCGTGAGATGAAGAGATGACTGACTGTCTGTCTGTTCTGAGATTCAACATATCTGTCTATTATTCACCAGCTGGCTCAAGGCTAAACACACCACTGCTCACGCACACACACACACACACACACACACACACACACACACACACACACACACACACACACACACACACACACACACACACACACACACACACACACACACACACACACACACACACACTCACACACACACACACACACACACACACACACACACACACACACACACACACACACACACACATGCGCCTGGCTGGCTGGCTGGTGAATAGCTATTGGGACCCTGAGATCCAGTGTGTGTCTTTCTCTAATCAGTAAAACAGTGACCGTGGGCAGTGGGCTCCGGCTGTCTATCGCCCATAAATAACAGTAGCAACTTGATGGACTGGGCAACCATGATTAGAGCCTGCTTGCCTACTATCAGGCAAGAGGGAATCACTGTAGTCTTTGATTGATTAGTGTGTATGAAGATAGAGAATTAGAGAACATCGGCTCAGATTGTTTCAGGTGGCTGCCAAATATGTATGTGTGTGTGTGTGTGCGCGTGTGTGTGCGTGTGTGTGTGTGTGTGTGTGTGTGTGTGTATGTGTGTGTGTGTGTGTGCGTGAGTGGACAACTATGAAAAGGTCTGGCCACTTCCAAAAATATCACCAGCCAGAGACTCTAACAAAATAAGAAATATTTAATTGTGGTTGAGGAGAAAAGGTGCTTTGATGGGACATAAAAGGCAATATAAAAGTCTACGGAGATGATCGTCTTTCTTTGTGGTTTTTGTAAAGAGCACTGGAACCAGGTAATTTTGTGCTATCAGAGGTGTTCAGGTCTGGAGCGATGTTTTGATATGTCACAATGGAGATGCTACACAGATCGATACGTAGACCTTTCTAGGATTGATCTGAGAAGACACTGTTCTTGGTCCTCTGGCCAACTGTCATCTTTCTACAGTCTCCCCTCTATTCATAAATACTAGATATGACGACTTCTCTCTCTCTCTCTCTCTCTCTCTCTCTCTCTCTCTCTCTCTCTCTCTCTCTCTCTCTCTCTCTCTCTCTCTCTCACACGCACACACACACACACACACACACACACACACACACACTTGTTTGAAATGTTTTCTCTCAGTGAATTGATTATGGCTGATCGAATGAAAGGCTACCTATCAAATTGCTTTTCTACTTTCTTGTAACATCTTGGCAAAGAACATTCTGTTCAGGGCAAATTAGCCCTCTTCAGAAGTAGCTATCCGTGCTGAGCTCAATTCCAATTCAATGCAGTCAATTCTGAAGATGGAATGAAGTCCCAATTGAAGAAATGTATTTTAAGAGATTACTTTTTAAATTTCAATCTCTTGAATTGATGGACTTGAAGTGGAATTCACACCACTCCATCTCCTCTTCTTTCTATTGACGTTCCCCACACAATGCTGCGAATGTGGACCAACCGTCCATTTGGA